GCCCGCCCGAGCCCGCGCCCGGGAAACTGAGGCCGGGTGACCCGGACAGCCCAAGGTCACGCGGCCCGAGGCTGGAGAGACCCGCTTGTGTGTCTTCCCAGACGGGGAAACCAAGGCCCGCGAACGGAAGGACGCGCCCAAGGTCACGGAGCCCAGCCACGAGGCGCGAGCTGCTCGCGACCTTGGCTTTTGGCAAGAGGCCTTGGGTTTGCCTCTGTCCAGAGCACCCGGCGGGGCAGTAACCGGTACTGGCGGGACGCGGAAAAATGGGGGCGTTCCCGTGCCAGCCTCTTTCCTTTCTATGGGTTTGAGGATTTCCATAATAAAAGGTTGTTTTTAGAGGCCACTGGAGCCCGTGCTTGTTCACTTGAGGGCCCTAGACAAGCCCTCAAATGGGAATGTGTTATGTGGGGAGGGGCAAAGTGGGGTCAATGCCCGTGTCTCCAGTCCCACAGTCGCCCCTTCCCCCCACCTCCTGTATATGAGGAAACTGAGGCCAATAGGAAGAGCTGCCTAAGGGTTCTGGTGACTCACACGCTCAAACGGGGCCCTAAACCATAGTGGACCACAGTGGGGGGCTGGGGTGTTCTGTAAGTGTAGTGGGATTTTTAAATTTTTACTTATTAATTTTAGTGAGGGAGAGGAAGGGATGGAGAGAAACATTAATTTGTTCTTCCACTTACTCATACATTCATTTGTTGATTCCTGCATGTGCCCTCACTGGGGATTGAGCCCGAAACATAGGTGTATTGGGACAACTCTAACCAACTGAGAGCTACCCTGCCAGGGCAAAGTTAGTGGGCTTTAAAACCGGGAAGTGTCTGGGTCCCAGGGGGTCCCAGAGTTTGCCATCCCTTCCCACCAGATGCCCAATTCCTCTGCCCCAGCCAGCCCTCCAGCCTCCAGCCCCTCTGCCCTCAGCTCTGAGAAGACATCTGAGGTTCTGTTTCTGGGGCTGGAGGCAGGTTGGTGTTAGGTGACAGGGGGGACAGGCCCAGGACTCTGTTTCTAGCCCCCCCCCCCAATGTTCCCTTCAGCTCATCCAGAGAGTGGAGGAGGTGTCATGAGAGGAGGGTGATGGAGAGAAATGGAGATGGGCACAAAGAAAAGGAGGAGAGAAAAGGAGGGGTCTCTAGGAGTGGGAGGAACACCCCAGCCTAGGACACAGGAGCCCTGGCCTCCTGGGATCCTCCAGCCTTCATGGCACTTTTCAGCCTGATGTCATATTACATGCCTTCACCCACCAGGTTGTCAGGGACATGGGGGTGGGGATATGACTTGTCCCTGCACTTTTGGATAATGGGTGAGCCGAGCTAGGCTATCTCTGGCCCCCATCAGGCTGCCCTGAGCCCTGGGAATTCCCATGCCTTCACCAGGTAGTCCAGCCTCCCAGGGACCACCTCCGTGGTGCACCCAGCCAGACCCTGGGCAGGCAGGCAGGGCCACCATCTGTCTGAGGCAGTGAGAGACAGGCTGGGCAGAGTTGGCAGTGCCAGGCTGTGTCCCCCCCCCCC